TGCTCAGAAATCTTGAAATATTGGTTAGTTGTTCTGAAACGTATGGTTTCCCAAACTGTAAAATAAAGATGTTGGGGGCCGGCCTGGTGGCGCACTCGGTAGAGGGCGGCGCTCCCACTGAGGGTTCGGATCCCATATAGAGACCGGTCTGCTCACTGGTTGAGCGTGGTGTGGGCGCGACACTGAGGGTTGCGATCCTGATACTGGTCACAAAAAAAAGACAAAAAGGGGAAAAAAAAATAAAGATGTTGGAAAAGATAGAAATTGGAATGAAAATGCTTTATCAATTAGAAACAGTATAGGAGAGTTTTCTTTTCAAAACAGCATTGGGCTTTCTCATTAAAGATAACCTTTGCTAATTGTTTCATTTAGTATTTTTTTTTTTTTTTGAGGTTGAACAGCAGATATGGCTAGCTATTCTCCAAAAGTTTCTGCTCACTTTCCTTGGCATAAATTTGTGTTAGGTTTGGGCAATTGTCCAGGAAGGAACTTTATTTCCCAGCATCCTGGTGTGGCCATGTGGTGAACTATTGCTGAGGGAGAGTGGATATATTGATGTGTGTCACCTACACGCCAGGTTTTCTCAAGAAGCATGGGTGCCTTCTTCACTTTCTCTCCCTCCTCAGATGGATAAAAGGGGCTCTGAGGCCCATGATATGACAGAGCCACAAGGTAGAAGGAACCTGGGCCTCTCAGTCACCACATGGAGGAAAGCCACCTAAAACTTAGAATGTGCTCACTTGATCGGACTGCTTCATGAGCAAGAAATAAATTTATATTAATGCACTGAAATGTTAATTTTTTACAGTAGCTAGCATGATCCTTTCCAATATAGGCATCCACTTAAAAGATTATCAGGTAAGGAAGGCACCAAGCTCTCCTTTTATTTTTTTAGCTGCAGAAGTCATATATAATATGAGAGCACTTCAAAGGTTCATTACTTAAAAATAAGAATACAATGGGGGCCGGCCTGGTGGCACACTGCTACAGTGCGCCTCTTGGGAGCGCGGCGGCGCTCCCGCCGAGGGTTCGGATCCCACATGCAGACCGGTTCCCGCTCACTGGCTGGGTGAGGTGTGGGCACGGCACCGGGGGTTGCGATCCCGTTGCCGGTCCCGGTCCGGTACGGGCGCGACACTGAGGGTTGCGATCCGTTGCCGGACACGAAAAAAGACAAAAAGGAAAAAAAAAAAAAGAATACAACGGATGTTTAACGCCAGTCAGCACATTTTCATCCACACATCTACCCACCCAGCTGTCATCTAACAAATATTTATTGGGAGTCATTTCTGTGTGAGACACTGTGGGTTAGTCTCTGTGAGTTCCAAGTGCCTCCAAAAACATTTAGCCGCTGTATACCACCCTACCTAGAATCAGTGTCAGTCCACCCCAAGCAGGCTTATCAGAAAGCTCTTTCCGAACAGGAACCGCTCTTAGGAGACCGCACAACCGGAAGCAGAGAATGGGACATTATAGAAACTGAAGAGCATTATAAAAGCCGATGGAGATCTATTAGGATTCTGTATCTTACTATGTTTCTCAGCAGTGTAGGGTTTTCTATTGTGATAATGTCAATATGGCCATATCTCCAAAAGCTGTCCAGTATGGAGATCTGAACCCTTTACCTCGGTTTATCAGCACCACACTCTACCAACTGAGCTATCCAGCCAGCCCCATTCAAGATATCTTATAATAGTATTGAGAGCTTACTGTGTGCCAGGCATATAACTAAACCTTTTACTACATCGTCTCTTGATCTTCGTAACAACACTGTGAGGTAACATTCATTAAGTGCATACTATATGCTGACACGGTCCTAAGCACTACATGTGTTGGCTCAAATAATTCTTATAAGACACGTGAATTGAGGCATATAACTAAACCTTTTACTACATCGTCTCTTGATCTTCGTAACAACACTGTGAGGTAGATATTGTCATTCCTGTTTGACAGATGAAGGATCCAGGCTCAGAGAAGGTAGCTTGCCCAAGGTCACACAGCTACAGATGGCAAGGCCAAGCCTATCTGAAACAAGTATCTGATTCTTAACCACGGTTCTATGTTATCTAGTACCTTAAATATTTTTAATATCTAATTTAAGGTTACTGTCCCTTTCATGGTAGTAAATTGTTAAATATTACTTAGCTTGTTTTTTTTGGTTACTGGCTGGTACAGGGATCCATACCTGGACCTTGGTGTTTTCAGCACCGTGTTCTAACCAACCGAGTTAACCAATCAGCCTACTTAGCTTAAAAGCTAAGAGAAAGATAAATCCCCTTCTCCCCATCCCTCCCCCACCAAGAAAAAAACACCACAAAAGAACAAAACAGGTAATGATCTGTCCAAAAGAAATTTGTTACTATTAATTTGTACTTCCTTCCCCTAGCTGATAGACATGCATCAGTCGAGTGATTCCTTCAGCTGTGTTGCCCAGAGGTGGGGTTGATCTCCAGCAGGACTCATGTTCTTAAAACCCAGGTCTTGAATTGTAAAGACAGGTTGTTCAGTAGACCCAGGGAGTTACTGGGAATACTCATGCATGAGTTATGATAATAAAACACTATAATTAAACTGACATATTAGTGAAACAAAATACTAAGAAATATTTGTTCTTATTTTGTATAGGTAACATTCATTAAGTGCATACTATATGCTGACACGGTCCTAAGCACTACATGTGTTGGCTCAAATAATTCTTATAAGACACGTGAATTAATTAAAGCATGCTGTTTATTTTCCTCCCTACTCAAATGGAAGATTTTTCAGAACCAGATGAGTAAAACCTAGTTGAGAAACTCCTTGATGGCAGGGACTGTGTTTATTCATCTTTGCATTCCTATTGCCTGCTACAAGATTTTGCCACAGACAAAGCCTCAATGATTGCTAATTGAATGAATAAGCAACAATCTGTAAGTAAATTGTTGAGTAGGGTTGGAACACCCATATTCGTATCTAAGCTCCCATAGTAAAGCATTAATGCTTCTAGAACTTTGATTTTGTCAATAGCATTACATTTTTAGAGAAGAATGTTCTGAAATTCAATACCAAGCACTTTCCCCAAAGTTTGTTTTTTGTTTTTGTTTTTTTTAATTTTTAGAGAAGATATAGATCCAACTTTCATTGAAGTGAGCAAAACCGAATTTGTAGATATACTATACAATATTATAAATGAGTAAAGATCTAAAAGTGTGTGGGGGGGTGTGGGTGAGAGAGAGAGAGAGAAAGAGGGAGGGAGAGAGAGAGAAAGAAAGAGGCAGAGAGGCCGGGGGGAGAGAGAGAGAGAGAAAGAAAAAGAAAGAGAGGCCGGGGGGAGAGAGGGAGAGAGGTTGGGGGATGTTTTTAATACAGACGGAAGAGATCCTGGTGATTTTGCAAAATCAGTAACACCTGAGCTGAGTTTTTGAAGGCCTGCAGAAGTTGAAGGAAAGGTGCGGGCCAAGGAGTAGGAGGCCAGAAATGTGTTCCTGGTGGAAGGGGCAGTAGAGGAACCTGTGCAGAAAGTCCGGGAGGCAAAGAACTTGGCTCATTTTGGGAACTTCAGTTTTATGTGACTGGAAGTTAGAGTTGGGGGGAGAGAGCAGGCAGAGAGATGAGGTTAGCTAGGGGGGTTAGTGGTTAGCTCATGAGCTAGTTTTTTATAGTAAGCAGTTTAGATTTAATCCTGAAAACAGCATGATAGAGATCATCAGAGGTGGGCAGAGGACCAAAAATGATATGCTGTCATCACTGTAAGAGGGACAGAAACACACTTGAGTACAGAGGTGTACTGGAGTGACACCTTCTGTTGTAGTGTAGAGTCTGCCTCTCACAAACTGTTTTTACTTTTTCTTTTTTTTGGCAGCTGGCCAGTATGGGGATCCAAACCCTTGACCCTGGTGTTATCAGCAGCACACATTTTACTTTCTTGTTGGAATTATAGCAGGATTTTAGCAGATTACAGCTTTTCAGTCACTATAAAAAGTATTATTCAATTAATATAAAAGCTTCCATTGGTCTCTAGCAAATATTATTAATATCATTAGCACCATCTGCAAAAGTCAGCTTACTTCTATCTGTGAAATGGACTCTTGACTATGATCAATTGGTATCCTGAGAAGACACTTTTGTCTTTTGCTTTCAATCACTACACATTTAATGTTAAATTGAGTTTTCAATGCTATTTTGAAATTTAATTTAAAAATGTATATGACATGAAATTATTATTTTGTATTTTAATAGAGAAGAAAAAAGGAGCTAAAGGTAGTACTTGCAGGTAGAAAATGACAACCAGAGTGCCTAAAATGAAAGATATTTTTAAGGTTAGCATTTTAATATTATGTATCATTGTACTATGCACTCTTATTTCTCATCCCCCACAAAGAAAAATATACCTAAATATTTCCTTTTAAGCTATTTAAAAATATCGTTAGGCAAGAAAAGGCCATGGTTTTCTTTATTGTTCTAATACTTATCTATATTTGTGTAAATTTATTTTCTAAAATTTTATGGTTATTTTTCCAAACTACTATATAGCCCTATCATATTAAAAAAAAATCTGTTGATTTATTCCATAGTCTGTTTTCTAAGCTGAAGTTTTCTGTTTTTCTGAAAGTATCTTATTTTTTGAATTTTAGTCATTTAGTTCTCCCCTCAATGTTCATCACGATATATAAACCCTTTTTAAGTGGTAGAGTCCTGAATAGTCTATGTAGAAAGGATGAATTAGTAATAGGTTTTAATGAAAGAATTGTCTGTCAGTTTTTGTGTTTTTATTATCTTTTATGTGTTTGACTGCTGTGCCCAGTTTAAAAAAAAAGATGTACAGTGCTAATGGCTGTTTAGCTTATAGGGTATCATAAATCTAAAGAATTGTATTTATAAATATTAAAGAATAGCTCATTATTTTTGTGATGTTATTGCTCTATATATATATAGTGTGTGTGATTATCTTTTTAACAAGATTTAACAAGATTTTTATGAACCAGAAATTTCCATAATCATTCTAAAAGATGTTGCTTCCCTAGCATTTTTTTCCTTGGGTACAGTGAATTGTTAGAACACTTAATTGTACTGTCAGAAGTTTGAATCCCTTACTATAAGTAATAGTATTACAAAATCTGTATGTTAGAATTGTTTAAATTTTTTCTTAATAGGAAAATTTACATGGTCAGATAAATGTATTTAGGTTTTAAACTTAACTTTTCTTGGATAACAATTCTTAAAGCATTGTACTTTTTTCTGCAGATTGATCAGACAGCCGATGCAAGTTTTTTGGGCTGGGTTATTGCTTCATTTAGTCTTGGCCAAATGGTAGCTTCACCTATATTTGGTTTATGGTCTAATTATAGACCAAGAAAAGAACCTCTCATTGTCTCCATCTTCATTTCCGTGGCAGCGAACTGCCTCTATGCGTATGTTCACATCCCAGCTTCTCATAATAAATACTACATGCTGGTTGCTCGTGGATTGGTGGGATTTGGAGCAGGTAATATGTTTGCGTGTATATCTTTGGTTGTGTCAAATTTACTTCATCCTGACATTTATGGCCCTCTCTTACCTTCTCTATATAATATCCCACAGTTCAACATACAGATTTCTCATTGCAAACAGAAAAATACCTTTTCTAACCTTTGCATTTGCTCATGATGTTCCCATTACCTATGGTTTCTCGCTTCTGTTCCCATCATTCTTCGTCCTTCAAGGTTTAGTTGAACTTCCAAATCTTCCATGAAGCCTTCTCAGGCAACCCTACCCCTTAACAGATCTTTCTCTTCTCTAACATGTCTGTGGCATGTGCTTATAGTCTTGCACTGTTTTTATCCTTTCTCACCAACCAGATAGTAAACTTTTTGCAATAGAGACAGTCTGTGATACTTTTTAATATTCTGTGGCCCCTAACAGAGTCTCTTGAACATAATAAGTGCTCAATAAAATTTTTGAGTTAAATCATTAGTGGATTTTTTTTTCTGATCCTTATCTTACAGTCTCTACATGCAGAATTTCTGAAATCTTTCTTTTAAAAATTGTTGTGGCAATCAGTAGTATGCCATTTACTCAGTGCTTTCTCAGTATTTAATAATGAAAACAAGTTTGATATTCTTATAATGCCATTTTTCATTCATTCAAATCTTTAACTGTTTTCATATTACTAAAATTATGTTTTATTAATTAATTCATTTGCTCAGTAAAAATATCTTACATGCTTTGTATGATCCTAAAGAGGAAGCAATGACTATCCTGTTGACCAATATTTCTTCTTCTATGTATAAAATAAATAGAGTTGAATTTTATAACTGAAGGATATTTTCTTTTGCTTTGGAATGTTTTATCTTTTCTTAGGAAATGTAGCAGTTGTTAGATCATATATTGCTGGTGCTACTTCCCTTCAGGAAAGAACAAGTTCCATGGCAAATACAAGTGCATGTCAAGCATTAGGTTTCATTCTAGGTCCAGGTAGGTGTTCTTCACTTGTCATTACTTGAATTTGAATTGGGAAAATCTTTGAGGTTCAAATGTTCAGTGAGATCCAAGTATAAAACCTTGTAGCTAAAGGGAAAAGGAAGGAAACTAATATTTTTTGATTCAGCAGTGAGGCTAGGTTCATTCTACTTTGACATCAATCCTCTAACTTAAGTGCTGTTAGTCCCATTTTACAGGTGAGGACATCAAAGCATAGAGAATCAAAGAAAATTGTCCAAAGTCACCCAGATAGTAAACAGGAAACATGGGGTTCAAACCTAACTCTGTCTGACTCTGTCAAATAGTCATTTAGCTTGACTTCTGTGCAAGAAATTATTTTCTTTTTCCATATATTAGAAACAAAATTATTTCAAATGAAAGATTTGAGGAAAATTATAGGGGTTTCTTTACCCTTTTACCCTTTGCCCATACCTTTTAAGACTTTTCTAAGTGTGAAGAAAATGTAAGAGTTTTAAAAACACTTATGTTGTTCCAAAGCTTCCATCCTTTTGCCGAGTGTAAAATCATATAAATGAGATTTAGTATTTTCACAACACAAACTAATTTTCTGCTGAGTAGAGAAATTAGTCATTTTTTATGCCTAGAATAATATTGAAAGACCATATAATTGGTCCATGCTTTGAATATTACAGTTATGAGTATTATCAATTTGAATCCATCTCAGTTTACTTCATCATTAGATTTTTTATGCCTAGAATAATATTGAAAGACCATATAATTGGTCCATGCTTTGAATATTACAATTATGAGTATTATCAATTTGAATCCATCTCAGTTTACTTCATCATTAGCACCTTACCCCCACCCTCAGTTTCCATTACTTCCTTCAACTTAGCAAAAAAAAGGCTCAGCAGAAGAGAATCTAATTCTTCATTCAACAAAATCTAATATTTCGGTTTAGTATTCAGAAACAAATATAAGCACAGATGTAGACTACTTGAATTTTAATGCCTTGTTGTAAACTACATGAGGACATGGTCTGGGTCTTTTTTATTTGCCACCCTACCCTCAGTATCTAGCACAGTACCTGCTATAGACTTAGGATCTCAGTAAATATTTTTGGCCTTCTTAAAAACATTTTATAGATTATCTTATTTAAATATTTTGTGTTATAGATGAGTAAATGTTAGCCTGAGGAGATTAAATAATAATAATAACCACTTTCCCAATAATAATAACCATTCAGCAAGCACTAACATTTATTGAGTGTTTACTGTGTACCAGGCACTATTCCAAGTGCTTTAGGTGCAATATCTGATTTAATCCTCACTTTAAGGCTTCATGAAAATTATTGACAGAGCTGCATATAGAATTTAAATCAGGAGAGCAAATCAGTACTGTTCCAATCCAATTTAAATGGTATTAAATATATATATATATAATTAAGGTACCATATACAGAGTAATATTTAAAATATTTGACCTAAAATGTGATATTTTCTTTTTTATAATGAAATTGATTAAACTTTTATAATTGATTTATGGAAGAAAATGTATAATTTAAATTTTCCATGGCGATCTTTTTTAAAAAGAAAATACTGACAGGTTACTTTAGAAATGAACTTAAATAGCCACATGTGGCTAGTGGCTACTGTATTGGACAGCATAGCTCTAGATCTTTGCTACTCAAAGTGTGGTTCACAGGCCAGCAGCAATTCACATAGTACTTTTGTAGATTCTCAGAATCTCACTAGGTTTGCCAGACTTAGTAAATAAAAATACAGGACATCCATTTAAATTTCACACTTGAAATAAAAAATTAATAACTGCTAGTATAAGTACTATACTAAAATGTAATATTTAAAATTTAAGTGTAAGAATTTCCCATGAAATATTTGAATCATATTTATACTAAAAATTATTGTTTATCTGAAATCTCAATTTAACTGGGCAGGACATACTTGTACTAAAACATAATTTGAATTTAACTGGGCGCCTGTGTCTTATCTGGCAACCCTACTTAGGCCTCACCTACTGGATCAGAATCTGCATTTTAACAAGGTTTGCACGTGATTCCTAAGCATATTAAAGTTAATGAACCACTGATCTAACTATATTGATCTTCTCCCAACTTCTGAAAGACTGTTTTTACATATCTTCCCTTTCTTAGTACTTTAACTTCACCCTCTTAACTCCCTCGTTCCCTTTACCTCATAGGGCCTTAAAGTTGGCATCCTATTTTTCACCTTTAAAAAAAAGTAGTTTGGGCCGAGCCCGTGGCGCACTCAGGAGAGTGCGGCGCTGGGAGCGCAGCAGCGCTCCCGCCACGGGTTCGGATCCTATATAGGGATGACCGGTGCGCTCGTAGAGCTCACTGGCTGAGCACGGTACGGCCAGTCTCAAAAAAGGACAAAAAAATAAATAAATAAAATTAAATTAAAAATAACAAAAAGTAGTTTGTTCCACCTCTGGCACTTCCTCACCACTCATTCTTTCTTCTCTTTTACTTTTTATTTTGAAAATTTTAAATATATTCTCACATATCCGCTCCCCAGATTCAACAATATTTTGCCACACCTGACTCATCTACTCCTTCGTTTCACTTTCTCTTTCCTGCTGTAGTATTTTTTACTGTGTGACTCTGAAATTTCTATGTCCAGTTTTGATCTTTACTGCCAAAATTATGAATACTTCTGTGATTTTTTATATATTCTAGTATAACAGTATATTCAGCTTGATCCAAACTGAAATCATCTTCTAAGCCAATCTCCCCTCCTAAATTCTTGTTCTCTTTCATTCTTCCAATAATCTAGAATCAAAACCTGGCAGACATCTTAAAACAACTTTCTTTAATCTTTAATATTCTCTATCCAATCTGTCAAGAATCTTTATTTTTCCTTCAAAACTCCTAATTCTCCCTTCTGCATTCTCAGTCACTGCCCTAGTTCAGGCCTTCACACATCTGGATTAGCCTCTGCATGGAATCTATTGTCATACCTCTCTTCTGTGTTCAGGATTGGCAAGCTTAAAACCATTGCAAAAACTCACTTCATTTTATTTTCAAAGAGCCGATATCCTAAAACCTTTGAGATCTTTGGAATAATTTCAGTAACTTTGCTACCAAATTGTGTATTTTTTGTTTCATGCAGTTCTTTACTCCTTTAATCATGAGAGTAGGTATGGTTTCTCTTTTTTTAAAATTTTTATTCTTTTGGTATACTTTACAAATTTACATTTTCATTCTTTAGATATTTCTCTGACTCATAAATAGGTACCAAAATCTGGTAAGTAGTTATACTTTACCAAATAAACCATTATTGTAGTACTAATTATATCCTCCCTGGGAAATGTTCTGCCATATGAAAGAAAGCAACTGAGTCCTTGCCCTCAATGAGTTTATACAGTTGTGGGAGACACACAGTGTTATTTTACCAAGTACTTTCATAGCCATTTTAATTAATTTTCAAAACAAAAATAGTGTAAGGTAAAGTTAAATATAGTAGGGTGGAGAGCAGAGTGATGAGTAGCTTTAGTAAGTTTTTGAACACAGAAGAGAGGTATGACAATAGATTCCATGCAGAGGCTAATCCAGATGTGTGAAGGCCTGAACTAGGGCAGTGACTGAGAATGCAGAAGGGAGAATTAGGAGTTTTGAAGGAAAAATAAAGATTCTTGACAGATTGGATAGAGAATATTAAAGATTAAAGAAAGTTGTTTTAAGATGTCTGCCAGGTTTTGATTCTAGATTATTGGAAGAATGAAAGAGAACAAGAATTTAGGAGGGGAGATTGGCTTAGAAGATGATTTCAGTTTGGATCAAGCTGAATATACTGTTATACTAGAATATATAAAAAATCGCAGAAGTATTCATAATTTTGGCAGTAAAGATCAAAACTGGACATAGAAATTTCAGAGTCACACAGTAAAAAATACTACAGCAGGAAAGAGAAAGTGAAACGAAGGAGTAGATGAGTCAGGTGTGGCAAAATATTGTTGAATCTGGGGAGCGGATATGTGAGAATATATTTAAAATTTTCAAAATAAAAAGTAAAAGAGAAGAAAGAATGAGTGGTGAGGAAGTGCCAGAGGTGGAACAAACTACTTTTTGTTATTTTTAATTTAATTTTATTTATTTATTTTTTTGTCCTTTTTTGAGACTGGCCGTACCGTGCTCAGCCAGTGAGCTCTACGAGCGCACCGGTCATCCCTATATAGGATCCGAACCCGTGGCGGGAGCGCTGCTGCGCTCCCAGCGCCGCACTCTCCTGAGTGCGCCACGGGCTCGGCCCAAACTACTTTTTTTTAAAGGTGAAAAATAGGATGCCAACTTTAAGGCCCTATGAGGTAAAGGGAACGAGGGAGTTAAGAGGGTGAAGTTAAAGTACTAAGAAAGGGAAGATATGTAAAAACAGTCTTTCAGAAGTTGGGAGAAGATCAATATAGTTAGATCAGTGGTTCATTAACTTTAATATGCTTAGGAATCACGTGCAAACCTTGTTAAAATGCAGATTCTGATCCAGTAGGTGAGGCCTAAGTAGGGTTGCCAGATAAGACACAGGCGCCCAGTTAAATTCAAATTATGTTTTAGTACAAGTATGTCCTGCCCAGTTAAATTGAGATTTCAGATAAACAATAATTTTTAGTATAAATATGATTCAAATATTTCATGGGAAATTCTTACACTTAAATTTTAAATATTACATTTTAGTATAGTACTTATACTAGCAGTTATTAATTTTTTATTTCAAGTGTGAAATTTAAATGGATGTCCTGTATTTTTATTTACTAAGTCTGGCAAACCTAGTGAGATTCTGAGAATCTACAAAAGTACTATGTGAATTGCTGCTGGCCTGTGAACCACACTTTGAGTAGCAAAGATCTAGAGCTATGCTGTCCAATACAGTAGCCACTAGCCACATGTGGCTATTTAAGTTCAAGTAGATTTAAGAAATTTTCTCCTGTCATACTAGCCACATTTCAGGTGCCCAGTTATGGGAGTATGTGGCTAGTGGCTTCTACACTGGACCACACAGACAAAGAATATTTCCATCATGTCACAGTTCTATTGTACAGTACTGTTGAAAGTACAAAAGGAAGTGAGTTTAGAGAGGAGAGATCTGTTTTCTTTCATGAGATTTCAGGTATTTCAAAATAATTTGTATAAAATAAAATGTTCAAATTTCAATAAATGGATAAAATGCATCTGGTAAAAGCTTCCATAATTGTTTTGATTTTAAAGATACTCAACTTTAAAGAGGTTATTATGGGGTAGGATTATAATTTCCAATTACATAGAATTTGAATCAATACATTAATGTTGTCTTTTCTTAAAATTCTTATAATTAAGATACCTAGTCAATCCCCACAGTTTAGGATGCAACATTCCTGAGATTCCCCATTGAAGTCAGCACTGGGTGAAGGCTCTAGGAAACTAACCACATAAAAAGTGAACCCCAGGGCCGGCCCGGTGGCGCACTGCTACAGTGTGCCGCTTGGGAGTGTGGTGGCGCTCCCNTAGCCAAAATAATACAAGGGCCACAGGACGAAAGCCTTCCCCTGGAAAAGGATCTGGACAAAGGTGACCAGTTCTCTGTGTGTGATTAGAAAGTAAAGTCATAAGCCTATACTGAGTGTTCAAGGTGCTTAATTCCTCCTATGTATAGCAGACTATTTCCAAATCTACTTATTATTAGAGGAGGAACTCCTTCTTAGGAATCCTGGGATAGAAAGGCAGGCACTATTATGAAAAAGTTACCGAAACTTACTTGTCTTAGGTAAGTTGTACCACCCCACCTTGCCACCACACATACACTTAAAAGATAGCATAAATGAACTCATTTTTGTATTACTTACCTGGTTTACTCTGAATAAGTGGATATATTAAGAAACAACATGATGGATATGTATGAGTAGATATATATATGAGGGTGCTTAAAAAAGTTTGTGGAAAAATGGAATTGAAAGGTAATAGGAATCTTTCCATGAGCTTTTTGAAGTATCCTCATATATGTCTGTATACTTACATTATATCAGGAATATAATATTGAGTGTGTAGCTTAACTACATAGTTCAAGCGTGTCAATACACACGCTTAACCCTCCTAATTTATAAAACCACCATCAAATCCTGATTCTTTGCAAAACATATAAATAACAAAGATTTTTTTAATGGCAATGATAACTAAAGCTTTTTTTTTTTTTTTTTTTCGTGACCGGCAA